TTCGGCGCTAGTTTTAAAAGATAAAAACATTTGACTCCTTAATTTTGACCTCTACAATATTTGTGTGAACGATGTATTTTTCATGTGTTTGATACACAACGTTATTATCCACAGAGCCTTTATAAATTGCCTTGGACAGCCAAAATTTGTTGTAATTAATGGCAACAGGCAAAAGAGTGCAAAGAGATCTGCATGTACTTTGATAGTTGTTGTATTGTAACATTATTTTAACCTGTACTGGGGTGTGCAGCTAATCACGGTAATAAAGCTTATCAAGATAGTCTTTACAGTGTTTGAAAAGTTTTGATTTTTTTTCCAACAAACCTTTTAATCTTTTCAGAAACTGGTAAATGAAACATTCCAGAAGATGTGGTTTACTCCATTGCTAGCTTCTGACTCAACAGGGCTTCTAAGACGAGTGCATCATATCACAGATGTTGTCACAGCATGTAAAGAAAGTGGTTATGAATGGTTTGAACAGCTACTTTGTAATGTATGTAACTATAGTTTTCACAGCTGTCTTCTGAATATCACACTTTTACAGTCAATCTGAGAACTGCTGCAGCCAGTTATCAAAGTCATTTGCAATCTAAATTTAATTCTGTTGAAGAAAATTATGAAACAGTGAAATTGAATTGTATTTACTGGATAATGGAACAGCTTAAAAATTGTCATTAGACAATGCATGCTTTTGGATAATATATGTTTTTGTCTTGACAACAAATTTTGCTTGGTGCATCATATTTCTCAGAATGGCATTAACTGGTACATTATATTGCAATAGGTGTACCTTCACAACTTTTTACAGGCCAGGCACTTGAATTGTTAATTACTCATCATATGACACATCAGCTACATGCCTGTTGGTAACTGCCAAAACAGAGTTTGTACTGAAAAAAAAAATATGTGTTGGTACTTTTTGCATTTATAATGCTTAACTATCTTATCTTTTTTCAAATGACTCACTTCTTCCATCAGTTACAGTCTTTACTTTAATACTATATCAGTTTCCATGCATATGTGTGCTTGTTCTAGAAATATGACAACCATAATTGTGTTAAAAAGGACAACTTCATGAAACTTGTTATGCCATATTTTCTCAATTATCAGCTCATATCCAATATAGGTTAATTTTGTTTGGGTAGGATTTAAATCACTGGTAAATTTTTAGAAGTTCTATATTGGTATTTTTTCGTGTTGATCACCACTGTTTCTTGAAAGAAAACACACTGGTGTGCATTTTCAGTATTAATGTATTAAGTATCAACCCCTTTTGGGTTTTATGGCTCTTAGTTTCTCAAGATTAAGTTGATCAGTCTGTTCACCAACTGCAGAATGCATATGCGAATTTATTTTCAAGTTATCTGTATATGATTTTGTGATTTAGAATATAAATGATTATTTACAGAAACATAGGTATCCTATGGTTTTACAATTATGTACACATACAAATATTAGATCTCACTAAAAGAGAAATTGTGTGAAACAGTATTGATCAACATCCAATTATGGTTCTCCTTTAAGAATAATAACTAAATCTTAATTTCAATCTTTACCTCAAACTCTGGTGGTTCAGCTGTTTCTTCTACATTGTGAGGTTGTTTTCGTCCTTGCTTGTAGCTTCTCTAACAATGGTGAAGCCATATTTTGTGTAGCAAGCCAATCAATATTTAACTAAATATTGAAACTGTTGTAGATCTGTGTGTTTGCATTCCATAATTTAAATAACTAATACAACTGATTGAAATATCACTTTTCTCTAATCAAAACTTGCATGCCAAATTCATCTACTACTGATTGAAATATCACTTTTCTGTAATCAAAACTTGCATGCCAAATTCATCTATTACTCTTTAATAATGCATATTACACACTTTCTTTCTTGAAATGATATATAAACTATTAAGATAAGTTTGATATCATCAGAGAAACCAACATTTCATAATCAACTGATATGACTATTATTTAAATCAAATAATTGTTTGTAACAACCAATGACAAATTTATTGCAGTCACTAATGTTACAGAATGGGAAAGCAGGTCCTGAAAGAGACCCAGCTAGGAAGGCAAGTCCTGAGACCAACTGGTTTTTTATTTATCATTTGCCCTAAGTGTGGCTTTTGGCTTATATTTCAAGCTAATAAGTTTGAGTGAGGATGCAAAAAATTGTGTGTATGGCTCCTTTTAATGGAGTACTCTGGGCATTCAGTAACATTTTAAGGTGACAGCCAGATTTAAATAGAGAAAAACTTGATTTTCCTTCTTGTACTGTGTTTAATGAGTAACTATAATTGTGACCAGCCAGACCGTTATAAAACTTAATACACTTTAACACAAAACACAATTTCTAAAGAAATGCAAAATTGTAACTAATGCACTAATGTGTACTATTGGTATATTGTTTTTGGTAATGAATAGAGTAAACTATTTCTGTCATGGTCTTTGTATTGGGAGTAAGACAATTTATAAATATTGACACTATATGGTTTAATGATGGTGTGGTTTCTACAAAAAAGTGTATTATTGTGTGTTTTCTGGTTAATATCTTTGAATGGTTCAGTGATAAGTTTTTAAGAACAGTTCTGTGTTTTATCAAACATCTGAGTATTTCAACATTCTGGTATTTTCCTAGCCTGTGATTAATATCATATGATTTTGCATAGTGTTTTTCATTATGCAGTCTTTACAGACAATTAATTTTGTACTTTTGGTGAAAAGTTATTTTGAACATGGAAGTTACCTCTGCTACTAGTTTTATACGTAACACAAAGCTTATATACATATATGCAGTAATTTTGGGTGAAGTTTAGAATTAATTGCGCAACTGTTGGATTAGGACAATTGTATTATACCTTGTACTAACAACTTTTCCCAATATTGTATTCATGCAGTGTTACTCTCACTACTATATTTTTTGGACACCAAAACAGCAACATTACCAATTGCTGTCTAGTTTGCTATGCAAGTCTCAAGATAGTTACATGATTAGAGCTGGTTAAATCAAACTATTTTTCTGAGTCTGGGGTCAGTTAAATGCATGCTGTAACACAAACTTTATTTACTAGTGCTATACGTGTCGTACACTATTTAATTTTTCGAAATTTTTTTTTTTTTGCGCTAATTTTATGTTTGGATAAAATAAATTGAAAGACAGTTGCATCTTCTATTGATATCCAACATGTTCCTTAGTAATAAGTTAGACATATCTTTTTGGTGTTGATTCGACCAAATTTGTTCGAATCATGTAACACACCTTGCATAGCAAACCACTGAGCAACTTCACTGGCAATATGCTGTTGCTTTTGTGTTGGAAACAATATGCCGGTAATACTAAATGTCAGATTCTGTTATTGGTTTCTCAGAACATACTGCATAATACTCAGTGATTTATTTTTAGTTCACATACTTGTATGTCCCTTGCATCATGAAATGTTTGGGTCTGTGAAAAGTGAAACAAGTACAAGCCAATCAGGATTAGAATCGCATCTGTTCTTTCGGTACATGCCAAAATCCATCATTGTCCCAATCTACAATCTTATGTTTGAAAATATGAGAAAGGGATAGAGAAAGGAGAAAATGTTCAAATTTTGAAAAGAAAACCAGTGAAATCTTTGCTACAGAATTGCAAAAACTGTAATAATGAAAAAAAATGTTTTCATCTTCTTACAGCTGATGAGAGTGGAGTCAAGTGTACAAAGTAGAACGGTGTATCGAGCATGTGTACAGATAGTAGATTGTCTGGTGGAAAATGTGCTACGACTAGAAGAGAAAGCAGCTGGTAAGTCAAATATGAAGTGTTTGGTAGCTTTTGTATTTTTGTGTCTAACAGAATAAATTTCATGATCAAATTCAAGATGTAATGCTACTTTACTGATGTACCATCATACTAGCCACACTAATTTCAATTGATACACTTAAACAGGTCATTGCTTTCTTTTGTTAGAAATCACCAAGACAGGCAACTTTTGAAGTTGGGTTGGTAAAAATTAAAACTGACATGCCCAGTGAAACAAACTATGATAAAGGGAATTATATTATATAACAAAGGGCAAGGTCACCAGAGTTCAACTATGTTTATTCTTTTGGTATTTCCACTCTCTCAATGCCTGTTCAATATGGAGCTCATAGCGACATACACAATGCGTAATGTTTGTTTACATTAATTTTGAACATGTTCGACGACCAACACGTTTTAAGGTTCATCAGTACTGTGTTTAATTAAAATTTTTGAAATGCAATTTTACTAAATACAATTGGATACAGTTGAAATCAATTCTCCTGTGATCATGAAATAAAGAATGCAACACTTAAAATTTAAATTACTTGTTTTGTGTATCGACAGACTGTTATTTTGAGTGGGAACTGAAGTGGATTATAATAATTAGTGTATGGCTGGTAACTTTCTAGTAGGGCTGCTGAAATGTCTTGTACACCATTTTGAGTAATTTCAAACGTGTGAATAAGTAAAAATTACATGTTATAAATATAAATAAATCCCATGTCTTGTTTTCGTTTTAAGAAAACTTGCGTATAGTGTACACTGAATTGTTAAAATACACCACCTCTGCAATTTCCGCAAGTGCATGCAGTACCAATGGATGAAATACCGTAATTGTTTCTTTATTACAGAAATGTCTGCAGAGGGCAAGAATACAAGCAGCCACAGATTGGTGTCCTGTATGCAGACATTATTTTTGTTTGCCAAAATAAAGCCAATTCTTTTAGTGGACCATGCAACAACTCTTCAACCCTACCTCACCACCAAGTGCAGCGTAAGTATTTAACTAGTTGCTAAAATGTGACGTCTGTTGTTTCATTTAACAGGAGAGTCATTCGTTATAGTCTAACACTGCTGAATCAGAGTGTCAGCTCAAGTTAATTAGATTGTATTTGCATTTTTTGTGATCTCGCATTTAGTACTTCAATAAATCCAGATTTTTTTGTTTGTTTCTGCCTTTTCACTTATTTTAGACGACTGGTGATTACTTAGTTTTGTTCAATGTGGCCAAAACTCTTGAACTAGTTGTTCCATTGATGGACCATCCAAGCGAGATATTCCTTGCTACACTTGAGGAGGATCTCATGAAACTTATCATTAAACATGGGCAAATGGTGAGTAGATAACATACAATTTATTATTACCTGGCATGTAGTGCTGGCAGGGGATATAATGCTTCCAGCATCTATATGGAGTCTTAACTTAAATTAAGGTGTATACAAAATAAATTTGACTTTAGAGGCGAGACTTTGTGTGTATAGTAAAACTTACAGCAACTACTGCTGTAAGCAATTGTCGCTTAAAAATATCAAAAACAATTGTTACCCAGTCTTATGCCCCCTCAGTCTCTTAAAAATGTTTGAGAAGACACAGGTGTAGAGTGACCTGTGTGACTAAGATCAATTTTGATCCAGATATGTTGTAAATAATTAAAAGTTTTGTTAAACCATACATATGTGTAAGGCTGTAATATATAGACATTAATCTTTAATTGCAATTTTGGATTCAAAATGGACCATGATATTTTTGTTTAACAGGTGCTGCAGAGTTGTGTTAGTTGTTTAGCATCTGTTGTAAATAATGTGACGCATAATTACAAACTTGTTAAAGACTGCTTCCAGAAGTTCTTTGGTAAGTAGCATAATATTATAGACCATCGAATTTGAAATCTGTCTTTCGGAAAATTAGGATCCATTCATATCCGAGTCTATTGAACCTGAAAGCATTGAGTTTTTCATTCATAGTCGGCATTCCCATTGATTTTTTTTTTTTGGTGGGGGAGGGGGGTTATTATTAATGTACTGCAGTTTGTATACTTACATTTGAAGTGATTTTCAAAATTGAGTGAAATGTCCTCTGCAGGAGGCAAATGGGAACAAAGATCCAAAGACACATTCTTCTATCCAAGCAAATACTGTACCAGTATTGCATTCGCATTCGCTCATTTGTTATTTATCTGTAACTGTTAGTATAGTTCTACAAAGTATAACAATTATCTTATTTTTAGGTGTTCTTTCAAAGATCAAGAATGAACTCACTCAAAATCCTGCAAGTACAGCCCTGATTACTAACAAGCCACCATTACTCAGGTCATTATTTACAGTAGGTTTGTTCTGTAGACATTTTAACTTTGAAAAAGACATCAAGGCTTCCAGTAAGGTAAGACTTCCTTTTCTTTTTATTCTTTTGGTATTTCCACTCTCTCAATGCCTGTTCAATATGGAGCTCATAGCGACATACACAATGCGTAATGTTTGTTTACATTAATTTTGAACATGTTCGACGACCAACACGTTTTAAGGTTCATCAGTACTGTGTTATTTTAGTCACCATTTTCTATTTCATCTAGATTTTTGAAAGAATAAAAAAGAAATTACCGGTATCAGTATATTCACAGCACTTTCAAAAAAGCATTAATCAACCTTCAGTGAGACAAATAGTTTGAGGGTTCACATTTACCAAGTTTTTGAAAGCAAAGCTAACTGCTTCATTTTGCCGAGGTCATGCATGTTTTTGTTTTGGGAGATGAGGATGATGTCATGTGGTATTGTTTCTCATTGTCTTTGCAAGGATGAAAGGCTCCACTATCCCGTACCCAACCCCCCTATTAAGGAAGACCATAATAGTTAAGAATATACAACTCTTGACCTCTTAGCCAGCGCTGAGGAGCTGTGCATGAATACAACTAATAAATCTAAATGTAATCTTGATTTGTATTTTAATCTGTTTCACGTTTGTCTGTTTCTAATTAGGTATCTGTTAAAGACCGTGTATTTGAAGTACTCTTATTTTTTGTATCAAAGTCTGATGAAGAAATCAAAGTGAAAGCGTTTCAGGGTATTGGTTTCTTCCTAGTTACATTTGCAGACATTATGCTTGGCTCCAAAATGAAACAGTTATACAATGATGTTCTTGACGATCCCGATAGCCCTGTCAAACTCAAAGCACAGGTTGGTAAATTTCTTTTGTGATAATTTCCCCAAATCTTGAATGTTTAGCCTCTATAAATATATACTGGCATTACAAGTTACAATGTGTTGAAATATAGTAGCAGTGATACTTGCTGCAAGGTTGTCAAATTTCTATTCTCATATTTTATTCCTCAGGAATGTCCATTCCTAACATTCCGCATATATAATGTAAACTAGTACTGTAGAATACTTTATTTTCGCTTGGAATTTATTTTTGCTGAAGGGATGATTCCGGGAAAATAAAATCCAGCGAATATACTTTTTTTCCTATATTTCCCATTAAACTCATCAAAAATGGGTGAAAATAAATTCCATACAAAACGCCCAAAAAGCCTTTTCAGCGAAAATTAATTCCAGCGAAAATAAAGTATTCCACAGTATTTCCCAAGCAATGACTAAATGCAGATTGTTGCTGTGGCTTCCTTTCTCAAAACTTATTGTCTCTTATGAGATTAAATTTCATGCAGTACTTGTACTAATGAATACCCCTGCTGAATAACAAACCTAGTATGGACTTTGGTGTAATTTTGCAATCTTTTATAACTGTTCTATGGCTTACATTTCCATGTGTGATACTCTCAGGCAAAATATGTGTTGTGTAACATTTAATAACTACCGATATGCACAAATTTATACCCATTGTTCTTATTCCATTCTCATTGTGTGAAGGTACTTCGGAATCTGACATTATATCTAACTGATGAAGAAGAAAAGATGAGGCAAGCAGATGTTGAATGTAAGTATTAAGCTCCTTGCCAAATAGAATGCAATACAATAAATTGCACCCTCGCTGGAGATGAATATTGCCAAAATGGCTCCCTGCATTTGAAAGACATAGTGTCAAAGAGAAAGATGAGTTGGCAGAGATTTCTGTTTCAAGAATGAATATAATAGACTTTGTGCTATTATATTCCACTTGTATTCATTACAACCCCCCCGCCCCCACTGATTTTGAACTATTATTTTAAATTGCAACATTGTACCACAAATGACAGTAATAGGATTTTAACATTCATTTTATTCTATACATGGTGCTGTATAAAATATAATGTTTGAAACATTCCATTTGTATGTCACAAGGTTTTGAAATATTATCAAAATTTATGTATATTTTGTTACTGCTATATAAAGATTCAGTCGATTTCCAATATGAAAACTGTATACACTACAACGAAAATAGCATGCGTCAGAAGGAATTTTGAAGGTTTGTTTGGCAGGAAGATGTTCAAATTGTTCAAGTAACTTATCTTGCTCAACCAATACCATTTCTTGTTACAACAGGGAAGAAAATTCGACAAAATGAAGATTTGAAAGAACTGGGTGATATTCATTCAGGGTAAGATAATATATTCTGTTGTGTCTGAGCATCATGCAAGAGTGCTTTTAAATTGTCGTTTGTATTATTTTAATTGCTATATAGTCATATCAGAACTTTATTCAAAATGTGTTTATTTTGAATTTCAGGATGAGCAGTTCAGTTATGCAGGTGTATCTGAAACAAGTTATGGAGTCTTTCTTTCATACAGACTCAACAGTTAGAATGTGTGCCTTACAAGTTATTCACCTTGTACTTAGACAAGGTTTGGTGCATCCTGTACAGGTATGTCACACATAGATACCATCATGCCTTCTCAATTTGCTATGAAGTCTGGCCAACCTAACTATTCTACCTTTTTACACATGTTTTAGACATCTTTATAGCACAAATATCATTATGTGAATCAGGCTTCTCACATTTCATTAGTTTACTTAAATTGATATTTCTTGTTAAATGTTTTTTTTAATGATTTAAAACACATTTGCCAAACATGCTTCTACGCTGGTGTCGCAATTTGTTTTGTACAAGCACAATTGTCAGGTAATCCCCCAACGATACAGCTGTCTTGCAAGCAATGTTGCTTTCAGGAAGCCAGTAGATCAGATTTGTCATTGTACAAAACAGTACATTTCAGTCGGTGTTGAACTATTCGGGAAAATCCTTCAATCCGCCTATCAATCTCTTGGCAATATTGCTAGGAATGTTTGCAGCAGTGTTTGTTTGTTGACTTGCCTTCAATTGTGAAGTGAGAACAAATTGAAATGAGTTTGATCAAATAATAATTCACTATATTCAAATGTACAATAATTCATTCTCAATTAATGCAAAATTTAATTGCAATGCCTTAACACCATTTATTGAATATTTAAAGAAATACATATTTCACATGATATAATTTTATTTGTTTTAGTGTATTCCGTATCTGGTTGCGATGTGTACAGATTACCGGGAACCAACTATCTGCATAAAAGCTGAACAACAACTGTCGGATATAGATAGCAAATATCCTGGTTTCATCCATGTAAGTAAATGAGGTTGAATTCAAGTGAAAAATGACTTGGAGGTACATTAATGACTTTCTCATTGCAGTTTTGTTGTGATGAGTTGCGACTGTAGCACCCTTTGTGACGTAACTTCTAAACTTAGTATTTTCTTGCTCATCTGAAAATTGCATCTCTATGAAACCCCCAAATAATTGTTTATAGTAGATTGCTTTTATAATTGTATTCAATGCTACCAAATTTTGTTTTTGACCTATTAGAAAAAGATTTTACATAAACAAAAATTACACTGATCTTAATGTTCAATTCCCTAACGTAGTGTGTGATTAATACATATGTTCCCGATTGTTTTTTGAATTCTAAAATAATGAGAGAGTTGTTATACAACAATGATACCATGTCTGCATATCTTTCTATTAGATGAAAGCATTGGCCGGTATTAGGATGTCATATCGGTTGCAGCAGCTCATTAATGGGGATACATTGGAACCTCTTAGAGGTACAAACTTTGATGAGCACACAAGCAGTTTATGTTCACATCTCTACACCTTGATCCGATCCAATAGACTTCACAGAAGAGCTTTACTGTTGAATCTTCTTAATCTTTTTGATGAGCAGTCGGTAAGCAATGTTTATA